AAAGTCAAGTGCACGTTGCGTTGTGAAGTTAGGTACAGATAAAGTTGGCAACGTCGCTAATCATCAATTTGAAGTTAACCGCATTAAGTTATATTGCGGGAGAATTGCTAAAGAGTGGATGTTTAAACTTACGGACGTTTATTTTCTTTTTTTATTTCATTTTTCGACATTCGTGTTTATAAAATATTGAAAAATGATTGGCAGTGATTATACTTTAGAACTGTGCAATGTGTTTCATTCTGGACAAGTGAGTTTTATACTTAAAAACATTTTATTATAACTTTGTCATCAAACATACTGTTAGAGATTTATTACAAATGGAAACGGACTATTGAATTTCTTCTTTCGTTTTGCAGTTAGTAAACTTTGCTTTAAAATTGTTTTTAAATATTAATAAAAATACATAATTTAAATATGTATAATGTAATTTTGAAAGAATTTAATGCTTTTTCTGTTCGAGTAATATTATTTAAATTGGTATAAATAAACGTAAAATAATGTAATTATTTATAACTGAAAATTTATAAAAAAAAAGTTTCCACCAACCAATGTATAAAGTCTTGTTAAAATTTGGTAGCGCGTTGATGTCTTTTCTAAGATGTAAACAAAAAGTACGTTGTTATTACCAGAGTGAACTAAATTCCGATATTCAAAACGACAAATGTGTTCTCAAGATTAGAGAAAAATTCATTGTTTCATGAAATAAGTTAAAAAAACTAGATTTTAATTTTGAGTATGTAGTATTACTTTAAGTAGAAAAAATCAGTGTCAAATTTTCCTGAGCAATTGTTTAAATTTAATTATTTATAAACTCGATAGGTGGAGCCTGGGAACTTCTTCCAGCGATTGACAGGTGGCGTGAAGACTGGCATCATTCTGAAAGACGTCTCCATGCTTACTCATAGCGGCGAGGTCACTGCTATACTTGGTTCTAAAGGTAAGGCTCTCATACTAATGTAAAGTCATAAAATTTTTTAGAAAATAAATTACTAATGAGATTTATTTCTAGCAATACAACGATAAAAATGAAGAAGTATTTCTGTTTCAATTAAATAGTGGTGTTAATAAGTATATATTTGATTATATTTTATAATATCTTGTATTAAACTTTTACTAAGAAATTCTCAAATAAAAAACATAAACCTATGGTATTTAGGGAGCGGCAAACGCGCTCTTCTAGATGTGATCGCCCGCCGCGTACCCAGCAAGGGACATATACTTCTAGAAGGAGTGCCCTTGGAAGAAGATCAGTTCAGGAACACGTGTGCGCTCGTCAGACACTCCACGAAACTCTTGCCGGGGCTGAGTGTGCAACAGACACTATCACTGTCACTTACTAAGGTAATTTGTATACTATGCGACCAATGAATAGTGTATACAGAGTGTAATTTGCCCAAAAAAAAATTGGACGAATTCATTCATAAATTGACGTGTTTTATTTTGGTTTATAAAGGTGACATTTATTTCAGATATCCGGTTATTTAAAATCATCTAAAGTGAAGCAAGTTATGGCAGATTTAGCACTGTCCCAGGTATTATTTTAATATTTATTATTATTATTATATTTAATCTGTAATTTTAGCTTTAACGTACTTCTTAACTATATTTAAGGTGGCCCATAAATGTGTAACGAATTTAACGAAAAGCGAATATCGTAGATTAGTAATCGGAGTACAACTGATACGAGATCCAAGTATGTATTAAATAAATTGATATAAATATATGTATATTGCAAGCTTCAAGTTCAATTTTATATTATTTACTTTTCAGTAATACTGTTGCTTGACGAACCGACATGGGATTTGGATCCGTTAAACACTTATTTGGTTATCTCCATATTATCTAACGCGGCTAAAAAATATGGAACAACAATAATATTGACTATGGAGAAACCAAGATCGGGTAAGAAAAACTTTTAATTAACCATAATCTTTCGATGTGAACAAAATATGCCTAGTTCTTGACTTTCAACTTTCCATTATCGCTTCCATTATCAGCATTTGGCAATGCTGCCATTACTGAAGGCGCATTAGCCATCGTCAACCTCGTCCATACAATCATCATATCCATTTGACTTTTCATTAAACAACACAACGCTTTAACTGTACTTTGGTCCTTCGAGCCAGATCGATTAAAGATTTCTGTGAAATTGGACGCTCTGCATACCGTGTTACTTTATTCCAGATGTGTTCCCATTCCTGGATCGTGTGGTATATCTGTGCTTGGGCGACGTGGTCTATGCAGGTCCTACTAGAAATCTGCTCGATTACTTCGGCAGCATAGGCTTCCCATGTCCGCAACTGGAGAACCCACTCATGTATTATTGTAAGTTGAGAAGACATTTTGTTTTACGGATGTGACAATCCATCGGAATAATGAAACGAGGGCAAATTAGTGAACATATCAAATTACTTGCTAAAATATTTTATGACTTTTTATTTTTAAATGACTATTCTGACAATCCAGATATCTATACTAAAAAATAAAAAAAAAACTTTATGTACTGACAAAACTTCTTAATTATTAAAAAAATACTCTAAACATTTCAGTATGCCTATCAACGGTTGATAGGAGATCTCGGGAGCGGTTTATCGAATCCAATCACCAGATAGCAGCACTGGTAGAGAAGTTCAGACTGGAGGGGCAGGGCATTATGCAGTCGGCCGCCACAGAGCACAGTCGTATCGTCAACCCAAACAAAATGCAGATGAACTACGGCAAACCAAGCGGCATTAGGGTCATATGGATGTTGTATTTGTAAGTGTCAGTAATAAATCCCGCTTAGATATAAAAGAGAAAGCACAGACAATATGCTCTCTCTCTCTCTCTGTAATAATCAACAGAACAGCATACTTTAATGATCTCATTGCTAAATACATTCTATGCCATGATTATGAGTACCTATGAAAGTAATCTCACATACAAGTTGGTCGCTCAAAACGTACGTATGTTAGAATGAAATCAAATCTATGTATATTTATTTCAGGAGAATCCTTGCTTCTATTTTTAATTTCAAGAAAAATGGTTTAAAACAGATGACAATGCGACTTTTTTCACTGCCGATATACTTCTTTATATTATGGATATTCTACAACGAAGCTCAGGTATACATTAGACAATAGGTTTATTTTTATTATCAGTCGTGATATTACCGTCCGAGGTTGAGAATGTATTATAATTTTTGGCAGGATTTCCAAAGGGCATTCATAACAAAAAGTGGACTAATTTTCAATGCAATGGTGGGCACTTACTTCATTAGTATCATGAACACAATCTGCCTTTGTAAGTATAATTATTATACATATAAAAAAAAACTTAAAGCTATGGCAACATCATAAAAATTCACTTAGATTTTTCTATCATTAGAGAAAGGAGTTTATGATATAAAACTCTTTCAAAATGTAATATAAACGTTCATTTATTATTACAGACGAACCATACCGAACTCGATATTATCAAGAATCACAAGAAGGTCTGTACAGCGGGGCTAGTCTTCTTTTATCATGGAATCTGGTCTCTCTGCCGTTCTCATTGATTACTACCTTCGCTTCAGCTGCTATTATTTATCCGTAAGTGAGATTTCCAAATAATTACGCTTGTTAATCTGACAGTTATTGGGCACTTTGAGGACTGCATTATCTTACGTTTTACGAAATGGATAGATGTTTACTATCGCTTAACTCCACAACTGTTGCACGGATCTGGTTGATACTTTATCAATTAAAGTGTGTTACATTTTGTGTTAGGATCTTAGGTGATATATCAGAGAGTGTGGACTACCTGTACTTCTGTCTTGCGCTGTGGTCTTGCTACATCTACGCGGAGCAGCAGGCTATCGGCGTCATGATGTTTGTGAAGAATGGACTCGTCGCCGCCATCTTTAATATTTATATCACGTGTATATACATCATGCTCGCTAGTGGTGTGCTCAGGTAACTATACTAGATTATTGATGCGTGAACTTTATGTTTTATTATTAGATTCCACTATTATAATACATGTTAATAGGCCAAGTGTTATCTCAAGAACAGTTAGAAGTGTGTTTCTTAATAGTCTTTAATGCTTTTTTCTTCTCAAGTATATGCTTTAATTTTAGCGATCAAAAATGCCTCAGCTTTTCTATTGACTATTTCTGACCATACATTTTTTATTTTGACAAGAAACAAATGTATAACACGAAAATAAAATCAATTGTAATCCTAACTTTTAGTGGTTATACACCAATAAGCAAGTTTTTATATTGCAGGTCTTACAAAGGTTTCGAAGAATGGCTGTACTATTTGACGTATATAACGCACACTCGTTACGCGTCTCTCTTCATGCACAGAAGTATATTCAGACAACCGAACTTCAACATCTTACCTTACAGCATCAGCGAGAATTGTACCGCGATTACGAACTTGATTCAGACGTCTTCAAATCTGAACACGAATTCCAATACAAACTGTAGATACGCCAACGGCAAAGCATTTCTAACAGAACGTTTTACATCAAAACATTTTACTGGTGATATTTATCAAATTGGTGAATTTAATCCTGAATTTAATATGGGAATATCGTTTGCGTTCTCCGTTGGAATAATGATATTCAATAAGTTTTTATATTTGATACCATTACCGAATTATATCACTGATAAGTTTAGGGAATAGATTATAAATTTATTATTAAGACTGAGACTTTAATCGTTATATGTTTTTTTATGAAAATTATTATATTTCTAATTTTTTTTTTTGTGTAGTATTATTAATTTTTATGCTCGTGATCTTACATACTTGACCCGTGTGTCTTCGTTGGCAGAGTTGATCAACACATACTTTAAAAATTAAAAAAAAAATATGTCAGCTGACACTAAACATTGAAATTGAAAATAACCAGGCATATATGAATAGTTTTCTAATGTTTTATTTATAAGTTTAGATGTATTTTGTATAGGAACTAATCAAATAAACACAATTTTTTTATTTCAAAAATTATTGTAATAAAAATAAATATTATTATTATAAAAAAAACCTTTATTTATTTCTTAAGATAATTCCCAATACAAACATGACAATTGCAACAAAAAAACACGTTACAATACTTTGATGACTTTGTTTTATGTGTTTTGTTTGTCTTCAACTTTCGAAGCACTGTGCTTCAACTGTGTTCGATTGTCGAAGCACTGTGTTTGGACTTGCATATAATCATATTGTCATCCCTTTCATTCTTTTTGAATAAAACAGAGACAACAATATAACATACAAATGCCACATTAAGAGTTTCACAGCGCACTTTTTTCTTATCTATAACCACTAGTTGATATTGAAATCTCCGAGACCCTTCTGATATGAATACAGAACTGTCTCTGTCTTTGTTTCATTTTCATTTTCAGGAAAACTTGTAGACGCTTCTGTTGGAAAATAACATTGAATTTCAATATAATAAAATTATTTTTATATGTACATTGGAATTCAATTGCTAAGGACATATTCATACTTGTTAAATAAATATGAAAGTTCGATATTTATGCAACAACTAGTGGACGCCCGCGACTTCGCCAACACAGATAAATAATAGCCTATAACACCCACATCAGCTGCTTTCCAGTCAAAGACAGAAATAGACAAAAAAAATCGCTATTGGCTTTCTTTAATTATTTTTAAATATTATTATTTTATTTACTTAATGAATAATTATTAATATTAACTTACCTCGATAATGACTTGAAAGAACATAAGCTTTATTCAATTTATTTATTGTAACCTAAAAAAAAACAAAATAGTACCAACATTATAAATAAATGAGAACGATGACCATTAGGCAAAATCAAAGTTGGTACTTATTGAACATATACATCACAAGTAAAATATTCATATGAGTTTGCAGTCAAAATAACTTTATAAAAACACATTGCTAAAACTGTTTTACCAAAAAAATAAATAGGATGAAACTACGGTCAGTACAGATATTACGTCAGTAAACTTATTTGTTATGAATTAACATCAAATGCATGACTTGTATTAATTTTAAAATTGTACCTACTGTTACTCCCTTACCGGTGATAAAACAATCTCTCTATATTTCTTTAAATAAATCTTCAATGGATCCACATAATTTTCAAAACCTAACTGATTCATAGCGAACAAAACATCTTCTCCGTTGATGGTTTTACGTTTCTCCATTTGACAACGGTCACTCGCCTCACTAGTTATAAATGATATAAACTCTGATATACACTCTTGTACACATTCTCTCGCATCTTTGGCAATCTGTGAATTACATATAGAAGTTTAAAATCATATTTTGTGACTAATAGTTAGTCATTCGTTTTAAGACCAAAATCTCTATTTAAAAAATGTTTTTATCTGTTCTGTCGAAGTTAATGAGAGGGATAATGAGAAAACATGTATAACATCCATAGTCAAGGGTAAAGTATGAAAAAAACACATTTTTGTCTTTTTCCCACTGTGTGGAAAGTGTCACAATATTCTATGGTTATATAATCTTAAACATTGATTATGACCATACCTTTCCATTCTCAGGTATTGCTCTTTTCATAATTTTGGCAATGTTGGCAATTGGCAAAAATCTGTCCTGCTCTCGCAACGGTACATTCTTTCCACCACAATTTGAATCTGAATTATTTTCTTCTTGCTCTGAAATAATAAGAATTAAAATTATAGCTATTAATTATGATTGTATCCTAAAAGGAAGTTATAATTAAAATAATAACTAACGAAATCTATAAATTCAATTTTACTAGATGCATGTAAATCAGCTGTGTACCAACTCAAACATTCAAGTTCATAGACTAGTACAATTGAGCTGCAGCTCGACAGTTCAATTCGCAGCTTACAGCTTTACGCATTCTTTTTTTTTTATATCATAAGGTGGCGAACGAGCAAGCGGCCACCTGAGATCGCTGAAATAGCAAAGTGACCATTGCCCATAGACATACGCAATTGCATATGCGTTGCCTATCTTTATTCTATTACAACTGTGCAAGTGTGCAACTGTGCAATTGCAGAGTCACAAATCATATGCTTGTGACTAATAAAATGGTAGAACATCTTAGGGTGAACCATGCCTTGCAGCTTGAAATGCAAATTATATCCGTGTAAGTACAAATTGAGTTGAGTTTCAAGCCAATTCATTGATCTGCATCACACATGAGACCATGAGATGATCTGCAGCTTAGCAACTTAAGTAGATGACTAAATTTTACATATATTGCCTATTTATACAAAACATATACCGATATAGCTCATCAAGTGTGTTGTACTCACCCAAAACATCATCTGAATTTACAACAAAAGTTTCTTCTTCATCTACCATAAAGCCATTATCTAATCTTACTATTTCATTTCCGAGATCGTCGCTTTCCATGATTATTGTCTAGAAAATAAACTTTTATTTTAATCTATTCCAGTATTTTTCATCCAATTTTTGTCTCCAAAATTTTGTACAAGTGCGAACTTTATAGTACCACCACCATTATTTAGCCAGACCATTATAGTATCGTTTTACAGTGGTTTTTTCAGCAAACAATTCTAGAATAACTTGTATAGTGTAACTAATCAAGACTAGGTCTTAATCGTACTACTTTTAGCTTTGAAAGTCAATTATATTTGAATATTGACTTACCTTTGTGGAAGATATTTCAAAATTAAATGATAATAAACACAATCAGAATGCCAATTATCCAAACTATTTAGCTTTTTGGTGCAAAACGCAGGTCCAAAACAGAAAACAGCCATAAAATATTTGTTAAATTGACAACTTTGTCATATGTCACAATTATCTTTTCTCAAAGAGGTGAATTGTTCAATAACATTATTCCACAAGTAAAAATTATGTTCAATTAAAATTAAAAGAAGAACTCTTTGTGGAGTAAACATAAAAATAAAATGAAAAATATAAAAAAAAAACTTTCATTGAAAATTTGCTATCTTAAACGTTATGCCGTATGTGATTTTACGTTTCCGCTCTATGTTTTGTAATCTTTTTGAGCAACTTTTTGAGTAGGAAACAATTTTATTTTATATACTCTTTGGTAGGAAACACAACTTCAATAAAGTTGTAGAGATGCCCCAGGCACTCCTAAAAATTGGATTGGATTATTTGATCCACCTAGTATCGTATCGTGTTTTTTTAAGTAATATATGGAGCAAATCACGCGAAGCAAAGTAGCTGTTGCTCAAAATATGTCAGCATTAAATTAAAAAAGTCAAAAAATTGCAATCCTTAAATTTTAATGTGCCATTCAATGTCGTAACAACTGAAAACTGATTTTCTTCCATCCACCAAAAACAAAAAGTCTGAAAGTTGTTGCATCGATACTCAATTTTGATGGATTGTATCGATCCAAAGTGTCAAATCACATCCCTATCTTATCTTACTCAATTACTTTGCTTCGCACATGGCTACACAGACTAAAATCAAATATATGATTTATAATTTAATATTTTTAAGTAATTAATCTTTTCCTTTATTTTATAAATCCAGTTAAAGTAAATAGGTGTCCACATCCACATTCATGTACACCGTTATCAAGAATCTGTATTTTTTAAACTGAAACATCGGAGAAACAATCCAAGTCAGCAACTGTGATCGGTTGGAAGATCAATTAAAATGGGTGTCCCTAAATTCTTCAGATATACCAGTGAAAGGTATCCTTGCCTGAATGAGCTGGTGAAACAATATCAGGTAAAATATTTACCATATTACTGAGTAATTTTTTAGTTAAAATGATTACCAAAACAAAAATAGACTTGTTTCGGAGCAACATCGATCGGGGGAATCGATGTTGCTTTTTGGTGATATTTATCACTTATAAATACAATTAAAAATATTATTATAGTTTTGTGCGATGGGATAGTTGTTGACATATTTACGAGGCATATTTATTTTACAGATACCAGATTTCGACAATATGTATTTGGACATGAATGGCATAATTCACAATTGTTCTCATCCCGACGACTCAAATCCTCACTTCAGAATCACCGAGGAGAAAATCTTCCAAGATATATTTCACTATATTAGTATGTTATTTCAAATCATAAAGCCTAAGAAGCTGTTCTTTATGGCTATTGATGGAGTCGCTCCTAGAGCTAAAATGAATCAGCAAAGAGGCAGGAGGTAAATATTACTCGAAAATTATAAAAGTATACTCAGGACCTTAATTATATTTTTTATTATAATATGAACACATTTTTATCAACATGTTGTGTAACATAGGTTGGTACATATTACACCATATGTAACAAATTTATTCCATTGAAATCAAATGTAATCGCTCATAAAATTCTCTTGTTAATATAGTAGTATATTTAATAAATATTATTATTTTTGTAGATTTAGATCTGCTCGGGAAGCTGAAAAATTGGAAGAAGATGCGAAAGAGAAAGGTATTCTGTTGTGAATTTCATATATTTTCTGAGAATGAAACCCACTGGTTAAGTATTTTAAGATTCAAACCTTATGGCCACTCATAGTAAGCCATGAGTAAATATTTGTACAACTGGGTACTAGGTGATCATACTACAGGTGGAACAAAGCACACATAGAGAAAGGCTATGTATTTATTTATAAATATGTAATTGAGTTCTGTGCAATGTCTCTTGCGAAATTGCAGCTTTTTGTAATATTTGGCTCCGCATTATGGCTAACAGTTTTTGAATAAGTAAAATTCTTGCAGGGGAAATTCTTCCAACGGAGAAGCGTTTTGACAGCAATTGCATTACACCTGGTACGGTGTTCATGGCACGCTTACATGAGCAGTTGAAATACTTTGTTAAAAAGCAAATATCTGAAGATCCACTTTGGGCTAAAGTGAAAGTAATACTATCTGGACATGAGGTAAATTAAATTATTACTTGTGATCACCTATTGGCCAAAATTCAAGTACAATTCAAATTGAAAGATACTTTTTTATTAAAAATAGCTTTATTATTTATAAAAATAACTTTCCATGTTAATAACAAATTCTATTAAATTACATGTTCGTCTGCACATTTTCTTTCCCAAAAAAAGTTCATGTTCATTTGTGATGCAAAAATGAACACAAAATGATATGCTACAGTATGTTTTGATATTTTCAATGTTCGGTTCCAATATTGTTTGTTGATTTACAGACACCCGGTGAAGGAGAGCACAAGATTATGGATTACATACGTTGGGCTCGTTCGCAGCCTGACTACGATCCTAATACTAGACATTGTTTGTACGGCTTGGATGCTGATCTTATAATGTTAGGAATGTGCACCCATGAACCACATTTTGCACTATTGAGAGAAGAGGTTCGTAGCAATTCTTAATTCTGGTTTATGTAGGCCATAGGATTTTTTTTTTGGAAATTAGGCGATTTTGTCTTTATCTATCTTACCAATATTATTAATGCGAATGTTTAAATGGATGGATAGATGTTTGTTTAAAGGTATTTCCAGAACAGCTGGATGGATCTCGTTTAAATTTATCTCAGATGTAGAGCATAGTCTGGAAGAACATATGGGATACTAATTAAGTTATTTTATATTTCTGTCTGAGTCACAGGCGACAGCTAGTACTTAATAAAAATAGATACAGTGAAGTCTGTTTACAGGTCAAGTTCGGTAAAACAACACAACGTGCTACCAGTCCTGAAGAAACAAACTTTTACCTCCTCCACTTGTCTCTCCTTCGTGAATATTTAACCCAAGAGTTCATAGACATCAAGGATAACTTGCCATTCAAGTATGATATAGAGAAAATTGTTGATGATTGGGTTTTAATGGGTTTCCTAGTGGGCAATGACTTTATACCCAATTTGCCAAATATGCATATAAATAATGATGCATTGCCAATATTATATAAAACATATATGACAGTTTTGCCAACATTAGATGGTGAGTTATGTTACTTACTTTGTATTATTATGAATAACTAAATGTGGTTTGGACTGTCTAATTTAAAGTAAAAAACAGTAATTAATATGAAAACCTAAAGAAACACACCTGAGCATACTCCTATGTCTTCATGGGAAAAATATGAATACACATCCTGATTTTAATGTTTTTAAAATATCAGTTTTACATTTTACTTGGCTAAGAAAAATACAATGAGACGTAAAATTATTGTATTTTGTAGGTTATATTAACGAAGCAGGGGATCTAAATCTACCTCGATTTGAGCTGTTTCTGCAGGAATTAGCTAAAATTGATAAAGAAAAGTTTCAAGACACATATGCTGATTTGAAATTTTTCGAAGCTAAAACAGGACGGAGACCAAATGAAAATGAAAGAAAAGTGGTATGATTTGACAATGTTTTATTATCTTTTTTAAAGCTATATTTAGAAGTGTTCTTACTAATATTATTAATGCGAATGTTTAGATGTATTGATGGACGTTTGAACGTATCTCCGGAACGGCTCAACGGATCTTGGTGAAATATAGCACATAGGCTACTTGTTAAGTTTTTTTTATTCTGTACGGACGAAGTCGCGGGCGGCAGCTAAATATAAATAAATTAATCATTGTACATATATTTTTGTGGTCAGTGCAATATATATATTTGTATGTTCCAGTACAAGCCAAACAATGATGACACATTCAATGTAAACATAGATGACATCAAAGCCAACAAGCCTGATGATGAATTACAAGCACTCATCAAAGCCACGGAGGATATGGTAACTTATTACTTTAATACTTACTTATATCTAGATCTTATTAATATTATAATGGCTTACGTTTGATGGATGGATGGATGTTTATTAGAAGGTATCTCCAGAACGGCTGCATGGATCTGGCTGAAATTTAGCATAGATGTAGAATGTAGCAAGGAAGAACACATAGGTCACTACAGAATACCTGAACGGATCTCAATTTAATTCAGTATACCATAAACTAAACTACTAGACAGATTTTGATGATATTTTGGTAGGATATTGTGGTGATGTCAGTGAAGGCTTGTATCATAAAAAGTGATTTAAAAAAATCTTTTTTTCTTAGTATATGGACGACATGGATATGAATAGTGATGAGGAATACGAAGAAACGAGTGATGGTGAGTTATAACTAATTTTAAATGTTTTTATCTATAATATGTGTAGTAAATCTACAAATCAAACTAAAATCTTTTCAGAGGAAGCAAACATTGAAATGGAGTTTATTCTGCACAAGAAAGATTATTATATGAACAAATTAGACTACTCCAAAGTTACTGAGTAAGTACTTAATTTTATGCTTATTAATTTATATGTAGAAGTTCTTAATGTATATCTACCTCAGACATTTTAAATGGTAACTCAGAGAAAGGCATATCTTTAAAAGTATTTAAAAAAACTTACTGTGCGAAAACTACCTTAATTTGTTGTTTAAGTAGGCATTTAAAGTCTCGGAATACAGCAATAAATTTACAGTAATTTTTGTATGAGATCCCTTGATAACTCTGACGTTAAAATAAGTTTTATCTCACTGACCGTGGGTTTCTGAGACCGAAATCTCTGTGTAAATCATATCAACAATGTCATGATCTTTGACAAAGCAAAGATAATATGTTTTAAACATTTGTCTAAGGAACCTATGATAAATACCCAAAGTTTAATAGACATTAAGTCTATTAAACTTTGAATGTACAATTTATTAATGTATCTTATTCTAGATGGGGCCTGGTGATCCAATTCACAGGGTATCACCCTAGTTTGGACACCAGTCCCCGGCCTATTTGGGAAAATAATAAAGTTATTTATTTATTCTTGTAGCGAGGTGTTGGCTGACCAAGCGGAGGGCTACGTGCGCGCTATTCAATGGAACCTGTGGTATTACTACAAGGGCTGCCCCTCCTGGTGCTGGTACTACCCCCACCACTATGCACCATACATCTCCGATATCAAAGGGTTCAAAGATCTCAAGATAGAGTTTGAATTGGGTGAACCTTTCAAACCTTTTGAACAAGTAAGGCTTGTTTTGTATGTAAACATAAGAGAATCAGTAAATCACAAATTATTTAAAGCTCTAACAAGACTTTCTACCTCTTCATATAACATGTATTTTTGTAATTTCATTAATATATATCCCATTTAATTCAGATTTGAAAATTTTCCCCGAATTAAAGAAAAAAAAAATTTGTGGCTCCGTGAATAAAGTAATTAAGAAGAGATTAATAAAATAATCTGTATGTCATAAAAATACTGATTTATCATGTACCCTTGCTTAAAAATTTCTACGTATGTGTGTCTAGCATTGAATGTTAATAAATTTACGTGTTGCAGTTATTAGCAGTGTTGCCAGCTGCCAGTAAGCACCTTCTGCCTACCCCCTTTCACGATCTAATGACAGATGAAGACTCTCCCATAGTGCATTATTACCCTGTGCACTTTGAGACAGATCTCAATGGCAAGAGGAATGATTGGGAAGCTGTTGTGCTTATACCGTTTATTGATGAGGTAAGGAGACTTTGATTTTTTTACTGTAAAAAATGTAAAAATTAAGAAAACAAAAACATACAGCTGTTTTGAGCATATTCCTTTTGAAAGTGTGTTAACAAGAAATACTGGTGAGTAGAAGAGCGAAAGAGAGGTTTTGTGAAAATAGGACAAAAACTATATTTAAGAGAAGGTGAATTCCAAAAGCTCTAGTCGAAAAAAAATCCCAGAAAGAATGCAAGAAGTAAAGATTTTTTGTTTCAGGCAAATTTGCTATCAGCAATGGCTCCTTGTTACCAACGATTGACTGAAGACGAATTAAAAAGGAATAGTCATGGACCCATGTTGATATACAACTGGTCACCTGCTAACTTAGGTATGTATTGTTGCAATCATTTGCAGTTTGTATTCACATGAGAGCTCCATAACTGTAACTTTTTCTTTAATTAAATTTTTGCATAAGAGCCAAAAACTATACCAATTACCCTATATTTGTTGACTTTGGTATTTCAGGTGTGGCACTTGCTCCGGCCTACTTCCCACCTATAACAGAGAACCACGCTATCGAGCTGTTGGTGTGGAGGTCCAAGCTGGATGTGCCCGAAGAACAGCTAAAGAGAGGCATGCTGCCCAATGCCAAGCGTGATCTTCTGTATCCTGGCTTCCCTACCATGCGGCATCTTAAGTATCAGGTATTCAACTAAAAACTAAAATATATATATTTACTGATTTATATTATAATCCTACTTATTTAAAAATTTATGACGAATCGAAAATCAATTGATAATGCATATTTATGATAAAAGTATGGAAAATCCTATATCTTCAATATTTATATCGAGCAATAAAATAACCATAATATTTCAGACGAGCTTGATGAAGAAGCATGTGAAAGTATTTGACCAGCCGTCTCGCAATGAGAACATGATTGTGGAGATAATAAGAGAGGAGGAGCCTCCAGTAGAGCAGGTTGCCCGGGAACTGCTTGGCAAGGTCATATGGGTTGGCTGGCCTCATCTCACTAAAGCCAAGTATGTCAAAGTCATAATGCAATTAATCAGTTTCTTTAAAATACAAAAGACTAGGTGTCGCCCGCGTCTGTGTTTTTCCAGAGTATGTTCTGCAAGTATGCTAATTTTCAGCAAGATAAATATATTCGGTCTGAAGATACCTTCTAATAAACATCCATCCATCCATCCTTTTAAACATTTGCATTAAAATTAGTAAACTTCACATTTTGTTTTAAATTTTTTTAGGTAATTAGCCTACTCTGTCACCCTTAAACATTTTACCAAAGTTTAATCCCGATTGATTCAGTAGTTTTGGAACTCAAAGGGATCAAACTTTTATTTTTATTTAGTGTAAGTAACTAGTAATTTATTAAGTGGTTTATATTATAATTTCCAGAGTGATATCAGTATCAAATGAGAAGATGAGACTGCATCACATCGGTAAGAATTCAGAAGTTCAAGGTGCTTACTCTACAGAGATGAACGCTGGCAATTTGCACAAGCAGTGGATATCAGAACGATCTACTATTATTGAACAGTAAGTTACATTTGTACTTCATAACTAGCATATTGTTATGCAATAAGTTTCTATGATTAAAACATGTATAGAAAAACATATTGTCATGTATGTTTTTAAACAATGATATATTTTTAATATCATAAGATGGCAAACAACGAGCAGCCACCTGAAATCGCTGAAATAGCGAAGTGACCGTTGCCCATAGACATACGCAATTGCATATGCGTTGACGTAATTGCATATGCGTTGAAATAGATAGGTTATTAAATAGCAAAGTTATTTAGTGACTTACAATTAACCGATTACTTAAAATATAATTTATTTTTCAGTAATATGAATCGATTGGGCATTGAGTTGGGTGATGTCAATATTATAGTTCACGCTGTTAATATTAAAGGTATTTATAAATTTACATATTTTTTAATCCAAACATGTTCAAAAGAATCAATGACATTCATTCATTCATTCATCACCAAGGGACTCGGAGCCAGCTCTAAGTTAGGGGTGATTGGCCATAGTTAACCACGCTGGCCCAGTGAGAGTTGGTTGACTTCACACATATCTTTGAATTTCTTCTCAGATATGTGCAGGTTGCATCACGATGTTTTCCTTCACCGTAAGAACGTCGGATAAACGAACATGTAAATCGGAAATCGAAAAACACATTCGTACAAGCGGGATTCGAACTCAGTACCTGTAGATTGCAAGTCAAGTGCTTGACCCCTGAGCCACCGACGCTCTTGGTCAAGGAATGTAATCAATGACATATTGACTTTATATTATTTAGTACTTCTAGGATTTACTATAAACCTACTAACTGTTAGTAACTGTTATTTTTATACCAGGTCTAGTGGAAATTATATACATTCCACCTTAGATTTCTGATTTCGTTAATCGTTTAGTGGAAAAGTGGCTTAAGAACACATATGTTCCAGGTTACAAATACATAATCCAAGATAATACGAAGATGGTACGTAAGGCGGAGTGGTGCGATGTGCCCTGTGGGTACGCGTTGCAGGCCGTGGTGCCTACCGCCAGCGCCTACGTCACTCAGACCCCCAGCAAGTTCTGCACCCCCCAGGAGGCCTATCCCACAGGAGATCAGGTGTTTTTGCTGACGCAGGGACAGTACTATGGATGTTTAGCTAAGGTATGACCATGTACAAAAAGACAATGCAAAATGTCTAAAAACTTAGTATGTGAAACAATTATCTTTTTTTTATTATAACATAGATAAAATATGTTTGTGTAATATGTTGTCGGCAGTCGAAAGTGTCAATTGTGTTGATGTGTATCAGATCGTGGAGTCGGAGGGTATGGGCAGCGGGCGCATCAAAGTGTTGGTGCGCGAGGCGAGCGAACCCGTGCCCAGCTGCCGCGCCACCGCCAGCCCCTACCGAGCCGCGCACCACGCCGCTGCAGCCTGTGGTAACATAATAAAATCAATTAAACTCGCCTTTATATAAAATATGTAACTTTAGCCTACAAGACACTCCTCTTGGTTTCTCTACTTTTAAATAGATAGATTATGTCTATTCTTTATATTATATAATACTTTTCTTTGATATGTCCAATTTGACTAACAAACGGCTTTTAGTCACAAAAAATCGTATAGTTATTGGTAAAAAAGTTTAAAATTAATTTAGAAGTTGTAGTCTAGAATCTAAATAGAAGTAATAATCTAGAAGTGATTTAATTGAATTTATTTTTAAATAATTTTCAGGTATATCCGCACAAATGCTATCTCGTATCACCGGCACTGTTCTCGTTATACTTGGAGAAAGGAATAATCTCCCTACAGAGAACCAAAACAAACTTAATATCGGACTCAATCTCAAATTCAACAAAAAGGTATTTTACATCGTTGAAATAAATTAGAACATTTTTTAAATCTTTATCACAAAAAATAGAAAAATAATAATCGAAATAAAAAAATCATATCCCAATGTACTGGAAATCTGTATAATAGTCCCTTTTTAAGTCTGTTGGTACATTCATATACAAAAGTGAAAATGTTCATACATATCCAGAATCAAGAAGTATCCGGCTACACGCGTCGCTGCGCCGTGAGCAACGCGTGGCTGTACTCAGAACGCTGCATTAATCTTGTTAAATCTTACGCGCAACAATTCCCGGAGATCTTCGACAATCTGCCGTATCACTATGATAAGAATGTCATATTCGAAGAGGAACTCTGGCCAGGAGAAGTCGGGTGAGACAAATGTTTATTCATTTATTGTTTACGTGAAACTTATAACATATTATTTATATTCCTGAAGATCTTTAGTTGTTTTTTTTCTTTAGAAGAGATCTTTTTTTCTTTAGAGAGATTTGGGTTCTGTCTATGTCTTTGTGGAATAACTCCAAGTTTATTTTTTCCCTGAACAGTGGCTGAACTGAACCCTGAACAGTGATATTTTTTTTATTTATTACTATTTTATCTGAAATATCACAGTTTATTTAAATTTTTCTTACATCAGAATCTCTGAAGCTTTTGCTAAGAATTTAGTTCTAAATAGTGTAGGATTCGAACCCACGACTAAGTGATCTGCAGTCAGTACCCTTAACCATTAAGCTATTGGGGCTTCAATGTTTTCAATGAATAAATAATTTGCAGTGAGAAGAAGCCTCAAGCGGTGATGAGTTGGCTGAAGGAGCAGGGTCACGGCAAGGCGGCACGGAGAGCGTGCGGCTCTCAGGCGCTGGAGCCGGAGGAGATGCGCGTGCTCGCCGCAGACGTGGACGCGCAGCTGCAGAGCACTCAGATTGAGAAAACACCCACGCTGCACGTCAAGTGGAACCTTCTCTATAAGGTAAATACTCGGAGCAATTGATGCAGTAGGACGCCATCTATTGGCTGATGGAAAGCTTATGGCAGCGTTCATTGGCTGCTTGATAACACCAGAACATCATTTATTAGCTGCTTCATATCATAGAAACGCCATCTATCGGCTGCTTGACAACATTAATAAAAAAAAAATTAAACTTCAGCCGGAGCTACACGAAGGCAACATATCACCGGATCCTAAAGCCGACTACGAGATGTTTGACCGCGTGGTGTGCGTGTCCCGCACTATGAGCGTGCCGTTTGGTCTGCGCGGCACCATCACCGCCGTGTACCAGCCCGGGGACTGCAACACGGTGCGTCTTGCTGACAAACTCAACGCCACGCCCTCCTACCAAGTCATGTTCGATAAACCATTCCCTGGAGGTATGGTGGAGGAAGGATTCAATGAAGCAAGGTTTTATAGGTCAGTATAAATTGTCAATAGATATCGACATGGGTGTCATTACATGATCTAAAATTGATTTTTCGCTACGATAAATATGGTCTTAGTTGAAATAGCTTTTTTCAACGAAACTGTTTTATTTTTTATGTAAACTAACGATTGCCCGTGACTCCGTCAACGCGGAATTATCAATACATATTCTGTCGTTCTGGAAATGTCTTCAAATAAACATCCATCCATCTAAACATTCGCATTTATAATATTAGTAAGATAAAATGTTAATCCCGTATTACCGTTGTTCAGAATGCAAAACACGAAGATGTTGAACATATCGTACGGTCGCAAGCTGCGCACCGAGCACGCGCCCGCAGAGCCGGAGTGGGCCGCACTCAACGCGCCCGTGCTGCTGCGCCGCGACCAACATCGCTCTGCCTTCGCCAGCTATAGGTATATTCAAATTCTGTATACTTCTTTTCAAATATCGTGGCTGCCTGAAAGTTAGACCTGCTGTGCAGTTCCCTCCCCCCGCAACCCGCTATACTCCAGCATACCATATGTACTCCGCATCGACTTGCAAGTTCACAGCCGCTAAGATATCTTACAATTGTTATACTTTAGTATTGTTTAATTTTTATTATTACTTGATAGCTAAATGAGAAACGAAATCAAAGCGATGCGTAGCAAGAACAAACGAAAATATGAAATTATATAAAAATTGAATACTCTTTGGTTCCGCTTCGCTTTGATTACGTTTGTCTATAATTATTTATCATAATATTGTATTTAATATGTTGTGCAGTCCGACGGGAGACAGACAGACGCCGATTGCTGATAACAAGAATAAACCGGTTCCCAATGTTGTCAAAAATGGTGCCCCTCCGGTCAGTAAATATACCAAACCTATGGTCTACTATACAACATTTATTTTAGTACTGTCTGTGAAAAATGTTTTTCAGTAGTAATAATATATGTATAATACTTATAATTTAAGTCTAACCGTGGGTTTCTGAGACTAAAATCTTTGACAAAACAAAGATATGTTTTAAACAAAAATTTAAACCAGCGACAAATCTGTGCAAAGAAAGCTGTAAGCAATTTATCTCAAACATAAAAAAAAACAATTTGACCAAAAAGTTTTTATTTCAAGCTATCATTGATTTATTATTCATTTTGTTTTCATCTTAATTATTCAGGATAACGCAACAAATCTGCTTCGAAGTTTATTAAAAATAAGCGAAAATGAATCTGATAACAATAAAAAGAATAAGGTAAGATTTTTTTATATATTTTGCCATTTAAATAATTTATTTGTACATTTTTTTGCATTAATGTTCAACTTTCTGCTACAGAATCCAGTTGAACAAAACAACTGGCGAAAATCCGACAAGAATCCAATGTCGCCGCCAAAGTAAGTAAAAACTAGGATTTTTAATATTTTAGTTTGAATAATTACATTATATACACTATAACAACACGTGTTTACATAATCTATTATATACTTCTAAGTTATTTGGATAAATTATACATAACTGCAATTACTCTGTATAATTTTAATTAAGTAAAAATAAAAAAAAATGTTTCAAGCGTTTATAATTTTTACAAGCAGCATATTAGTTCCTTTTTGGAACTTTTTCTTGGGGTAAGATAATTTGGTAACGAACTAACAAATGTTGCCATACGAGTTTTTTTGTTCACCATATATTGGACATACACATTTAAACACATATGTACGAACATGCTTAAGTATATAACATTATATATTATGCTATTTATTATTTATCCATTTATGTTTGCAGGCTTATCTTTAAAAAATTCTAATTCTGTTAACTATTTTTGATAGGGATATTAAATTCAAATAAATGCATTAATTGCTTGAGATATATTAAATAAGCTACTTCATTTGATTAGGAAATATAAAAAATTATAGAAAAAAGTAGCATAGTTTTTATTATAATTAGATTTCATAAGTTTTTGATTAGTCATCCATATGCTATAGCATTTATATGCAGTCCTAGTATTTAGGTAATCAAGTTATTTGTGATTTCAGGACAACACAAGACAACTGGCGTAAAGAAAGTAATCCTTCGATCAGTGGCAGTCGACCGCCGCCACAAGGCTTACCCAATGAATGGACTAATAGCAACTTTAAGGTACATAATTATTATAAAGTACATAAAATACATAGATATATAGACTACTAAAAGTCAGACAGTAGAGCAAAGATCTTCAGAGACCTAATCAAGGAAAATATTATAATACATTGATATAAAAAAAAAGAATTGTGCACCCACATATACTATGAATAGTTTTCATTTGGTCAGTATTTATGTATAGACAAGCTAGATTTCCTTAAAATAATCGTATATAGATATCAGAAAACCATAATGAAATATATTTTTGTTCCAGAATCCGCCGCCGTTCCCTCAGATGGGCGTGTCCAAATCCTTCCAGGGGCCCGGAGCGGCGCACCTACCCTTCCCGCAGTTCCGCCCTCACCCTCCGCAGCCAGTGTTCGCGAACAAGGCCCCCAATAACATCGTCCTAGGACCCAGCTGGATACAAGGAAATGTACGTATAACGCGATGTTTACATTATTCCAGTCCACCTATCGAATTCACCGCTAGATTACAACTGCGAAAATGTTATTCCACACAGCAAACCCAGACAGTAGAATCCAAGGTGGGTTTACATATTTCCAGTTGTAATCCATCACTGAATTTAATCAATGGACTGGAATAACGAAAACTGGGCATTATTACTAATTTATTTTATGGTTCTATATGGAATTCATGAAAGCTATATTAAGTGCGACGAATTACAAAACTGTTTGTCAAACACATTTGACTGTTTATAGAACGGAATTTTTCATTTTCCAGAATCTATCAACAGTGCCCAGCGTGGGCAAGCCGGCGAGCGGCACACAGAACACGGAAAGAGTCGCCAATCCATTCGTGCCTCTGCAAGTGCAGACTAGTCAGAGGTGAGCATTATGTATAGCAACTATTTCATAAAAGAAAATACTAACAATACTTGATTTAAAAAATATATCACGTATCCCGTAAAATGCTACCTTTGTATAAGTTGGGTCATAAAAAATAAAATAGCCTTTCAGCTCTCTAAACGTGAATTATATGTAGATATTTCCACATTTTAATGTCGCATAAATTTTATGTTTTGTATACGAGGATGTTTACATTCATGTATTTTACAGACGAGTACAAAACAATAGTGTTCCGACAAGCAGTAGAAGAGATCCGGAGGGTGCGCCTGCGCAGCCAGTGCCGCAACACTCCACACAACCACAACACATGCTGCAACATGACGACCCGGTCAGTTTAAATATATTTTATATGCAACTGCCTTTATTAAGTGTAATTTTTAAGAAAATATGCCTTTTGAAATGATCATTTTTATTGTAAAATAACGCTGTTGTAAAAATTACAGCGCCTGAAATAAAAAATTAGCATCGAAACGTTAACTTAACTTTAGCTATTATTTAATATTATACTGATATCAAATTTGGTTCAATTTAGTTATTTGTATTTTTAACAGTAGTATTTTTTCAGACGCCGCAACAGCCACAAAATGCGAAAAAGAAACCGCAAAGAAAGAAGAAACCGAGGATAGCTGCTAACTTACCTTTCCAAATGGACTAAAGTCTAAATATACATAATATGTCTGTGCGTCTGTGTATATGTATAAATAATAATCATTTTTAATCTTATAAAGACAACGCAAAGTGATTAGATCAGTAAAGAATTACAAGTGAATTTTTGATATCATTGTCACACGACTCGACGGGGGCATAGCCGTGCCCCTAAATTTAACTTAGTTATGTTGTTAGTCAGATTAAAAAAAAACGCGAAGCAAATGTATAATAAAATAAATTTTCAAAATGTTGCCAGTTTTGCAACATTTTCCATTCATGATCTTTATTAATCTAATCACAAAAATATAATTTATTTGTATGACTGTGTACTTAATTGTACATTTTGTATATAAATTTATATTGTAAGGACATCTTTTAAGATATGTTGTCATAATTAAGATTATGTTGACGATAAATGACTTTTTCTTCAGTAATAAATATTTGTGAATGTGAGATTAAGTACTTTAATTTTTTTTTAGTTCCTAACTTTGAAAAGACGTTTCTAAAGTAAGGTTATATATAATTTTATTCAGATTCAATGGTATCTGAATTATTTTGAAGTAATCCAATAATATTGCATATTAAAATAACAATAAATGTATGTAATGCAAATCAATTTTGTCTTCAACTGACTTTTGACGTTTAATTCTTAACATTATATGTTAATATTCCTCATACCTTTGTAATAAATCGATGTTTCTTAATTAGTAAAAATACATATACTTACATAATTAAAAAGAAAATGTTGTATTATGTAATGTATAAATAGCTCGTGTGTAAATCAGTTCTGAACCGGCTCAGAAGTTCAGGTCACATAGACTTGACCCATTGAGTTGGCAAATTAATCTTACATGACGTAAAACCAGTCGTGTTATTTTTATGTAATTTCAAAATGATGATATTAGCAACATGTAGTAGGTGCCGATCGCGTTTTATTTGCTTTTCTTAGAAATTGTACTGAGCTGCGAGCCGGTGCACTGATCTACTTCACACATGCGAACCGTGAGCTGATCTGCAGATCAAGTTTATTAGAGATATGCATGACAGGAAAAGAAAAGGGGAATTTAAGGATCTGTGTTTAAATATCGCCGTTATTTGGTGCAGAACTATTGGTGACGTCATTTTATTATCAGTATTGACTTGAACAATTATTATAATGATAATAATTGTTTAATTAAATGTTTATTGCTACAAAAATATGTGTATAGATTTAATATTATGACTATAATAAAAAAATAGTGAACTAAGGAGCATGTAGAAATTAAAATATAACACAATAGTGCTCCGAGTAACTTCAGTTAGTGTTTAAAGAACAAAGCATAATTTTATGTTGTTAAATAAGACCTAAAAGTACAAAACATTTTCGGAATACTTTGTATAAATTATTATTTTTTATAGGATTATGTAAAGAAACTCAAAACATCATATTTAGAAAAAACAGTCTATTTTATGTTCCCCTTAAATTATTTTTTATTGTTAAATAAATGATATTTCAAATAAAAAATTGTTTTATATTCCATCGCGAAACTTCCAACTTGTATATAGTGCGAGAAGATTATTTACTCCGGTTAAAAAGGGCGTATTTATTTTGCTTTTGGTATAAATTACTAAAATATAACACAACGTAAATATTCGAAGCGGCAAAGCAAATTATAAAACAATTAACGAACGAGTCTTCTTTGTGTCATTTGACAGTGACACTTGAATTGACGTTTTGTTGTGACAGCTAATCAATGTTTATTTTCGCGCTTTTAAGTTTTAAAGTTTTTTAGTTTTTTTTAAGTTTATTTGTAAAATTATCTTGCGATTTAAACATAGCCTTTATTAATATGTTATGATTTGTATTATCTATTACTCACATTTTCCGCATGATGGACGAAAACCATTTAACTGAGTTAAATATGTCCGAAGAAGTTTACGATACAGATCATTTTTTTACAAGCGATAACCAAAACTCAGAAAACTTTGAAAGCAATTTAGAATCAAATTCGGAACAGTTGGAGCTTATTGACGAGAGACAAGCCGATGCAGTCATAGAAAAGAAAACTCCACCGCAGAGGAATGAAACAACGCGTACAAAATTACCAATTGCGAGGATAAGAAATATAATGAGAATGGATCCAGACGTGAGCATCGTAAATAGTGATGCTGTATTTTTAGTTACGAAGGCAACCGTAAGTAATTACTTTTTCAATATTATAAACATAAGGATTATATATTGGCTTGTGGTCTGTTACCACTTATAACTCCATGAGTATTTCAATTATTATTTCCTTCAGGAGCTATTTCTGGAAACTATGGCAAAAGAAGCATACACATATATGTCACTTAACAAAAGGAAAACTATGGCCAAGAAAGATTTAGACCATGTCATAAACAATGTGGATTGTTTGTGTTTCCTTGAAGGTGCAATGGACTTTTAAAATGGATCGGTAAAATAAGTATTAAATAAAACTATGTGAATATAAAAATTGTATGTTTTTATTTACAAAACAATTACATGTTAGATCCTGGCTAAGCAAGAAACCTCTATGAGCATGACAAATATTGCAGTTCTGTGGATTCTCGTTTATCCAGGTTTGACTGTTTTTCATAAGAATAAATAGTATTTATAAGCAATTTAAGCATTAAATTTCCTTACTTATTAAAATAACTTTCAGTCACCACAATTTAATATGTCTTCGTTTCACTTTAAAATGTAAAATAATGTAAGATATATACAATATAAAAAGAAATATACAACTTCAACAACAGTTAGTTAGTGTTTCAAATACGACAGCGCAGTGTGCAGATATAGGTAGATTGGCCTTGCTCAGTGGCATTCTGTAAAGAAGTTAAGATTATTTTACAAATCATAGCATATCTTAGTAGCCTATGTGTTCTTCCAGACGATGTTCTACATCTATGCCAAATAACAGTGGGATCTGATTAGCCATTCTGGAGATATCTTCAAACAAACATCCATTCATCCAAACATTCACATTTATAATAATAGTCAGAATTATTAATGCCAAAAAAATATCTTAATATATACCAAAAATATTTTAATGCCAAAAAAATATATTAATATATTAAAATATCTTACCCTTTATCAAGGGAGCAGTCCACTCCAGTTGCAACTACTGCCATCTTTTCTGGCAACAGTCTGAGGGAGGACAAATTGACGACCACATCTCTGTCAGATAGATTCACAATGCCCACTATACCTGGTGACCCTGGCAGTAATCTGTATAGAAATTAAACCATATTACCATAAAAACCTACACATATTTAAATGAAACTCAAAGAAACAGTGGTTTAGGATGATTGACTAAATTTATAATAATTAATCTTACCTATTGACTACTAGTATAGATTCTGATATAGCTTTCGTCTCTAGATCTCCATAACGGGTGGCAGGTTTCTTTCTGATGGTCGCCAAATCTTTGTAGAACTGTAACAAAATATTGAATTTAGTTGAGCAGAAGGTAAAATATTTTCTAGAGGACACAATTAAGCTACAATTTTAGGGTTCTGTACCTCATAAGGAAAAAAAATGGAACCCTTATAGGATCACTTTGTTGTCCGTCCATCTCTCTGCTTGTCAAGACACTTAGTCTCAAAAACGCGTATCTCAAGCTGAAAATAATTTAATTGTAGAAAGAGATATGGATACCTTTCGTTTTCAATTATTCAAGACTTTGAAGAGTACTGTAGACCTAAATGTGTAACATTTTTTTTTAATGATAAATACCGTATAATGACTTCTGCCCGATAGTTGCTTGGCTAGATTCAAGGTGAGATAGTTATCGGCCAGTGGCAGCCATGTGCGTCCCGTGGTGTTAGAGAAGCCGGCATGTTCGCTCGCGTCCCAGTGGTATGGCGTGCGCTCAGGGTCGCGTGAGCTGAGCGCGTAGTGCTGCGGGTCTGTGTCGCAAGCTTGTGGGTCGCGCGTGTCCTGCCAGCTCACGTAGCCGTCCGTCATACCTAGCTCCTCGCCCTGGGAACATAACCAGTAGAGAAAGAAATTTAGCTAATAGACCAGGTGTCAGAGTGTACGTAATAAAAATTTATTCTGGAACATCAAAATTTGATGATCATCAGAACACTTAAAGTTCAGCTCTTAGTTTTCTCTACAATCATTTTATCAATGATGGGTTCAATCATCGTTTAAACAAGTCGTTTATATTTTAAAACATACGGTTATTGGCTAATTAAAATATTTGCCAACCATCTAAAGATTCTTTAAATTTTATATTACCATCCTTTAGTAAGGGTTTTGATATGTTTCACCTGATATGTGATGGCGATGCCGGGCAGCATCAGCGCAAGCATATTCATTGCGTCCACGCGATCGGAGCCGTGCCGCGACGCCAGCCGGCTCTGGTCATGGTTGCCGTTCTATATATATTATAAGATATACAATATCACATTTAGTTACGAAATTACGCATTTACACTCGTAATATTAGTAAGATTAGAAAATTATTTCCATCGTTTAGTCATTTGGGAAACATTTATTTGGTGTTACTTGTTTATGAATAGAAGCGTTACTCACCACCCAGTTAGCTGTCTTCCCACTTGGCATATAAGTCATCCACTTATCAATGACCAGCTTTATATCATACGCATTAGATGTATTGTGTATATCGCCGAGAAAGGCAAAGTTGAAAGGTACAGCGCCATCTCTGTTCCCATTGCCGTAATACTTGACGAGATCGCTGACGTCGGCGTAAGCCTCTGTCATCATCAACTTATGTTCTCCGTGCATCTTTGTAAACTCGTCTAGAATTTCCCGCCATGAGTACACAACGTCGTATGTCTCTTTTAAATTCCTTGTGTAAATGTGCTTTAAGTAATTGTAGTCATCCGGCGATGAGCCTGGGATACCTAAAGGTAAGACCTTGTGTCATTATCTAAGTTATTTGTCTAGTCTAGTATGGCAATGTAAAGTTGTAAAGCTATAATTGCCAAGACCAAGCTTTGCTTATAAGACATAAGTCTACCAACCATGGGAGGTTGAATTTGGACAGTCCATTTACTTATATTTTAATGAAACACATTTTTCTTAGACCTACTAAACATTATGTAGTTTTAAACCTGTGCGTGGTTCGTCTGGATATCTGCCTCCGAAGTCCTCTGGGCGGGCTTCAAATAGCATGTTGATGGCATCCACTCGGAACCCTGACACGCCCTGATCCAGCCAGAATCGTAGTACTTGCTAAATAAACGATTATTAGGTTAACAACTGATATTTATCCAAGTAGTTAAGTTAACTTTTCAAATATCATAAAAGCTTAATTTTCCACTTCGGGGACCATTCTGTGTGTTGTCGTGGCCGTCCTAGCGAAAATAGAAGGTAAACGTGACAATACTAGACCACCCTTAAGGCCACCCCTTTAGTTGCTTTGTTTTAGTATTCCCTAGGCATCCCATTGTCCCACACAAATTGAAGGTAGTCACGCCCTAGGGTTACCACATACAAACCTTGATCTCTTCGTGCACTCGGGGCTCGCGGTAGTTGAGGTCGGGCTGGCCGATGGCGAACTGATGCAAGTAGTACTGGCCGCGTTCCTCGCTGTACTGCCACGCACTACCCCTGAAGTTGCTCACCTGCATACAAATTAAATAAATACATTTATAAAATATACAATCATCAGAATGATTCCACCAGGATTGAAGTTTTGAAGTAACACCAAAAAATAAGGACGAAATTCTCCGTTTTGAAGTCTGTTTAAAATATAGCATAACCCTGCGCGAATTTCAAGTTGTTTAAACTACCAGAACCAGAACCACGTAAATACGATTATTAAAAGTTAAAAAAACTTGTTTTTAAGCAAGGATATGTAAGACTTAAAACATTACTAGACATGCCTTTTTACAATGACTTCTTCAATAAACAGCATAATCGCATCCTTATAGAAGGATTTTAGTTCAATAATTTAAGCAGTTTCTATAATTGGTATTTACCCAGTTGCTAGGCGGTTTCTGGACGCCGGATTTATTGGGGTCGGGGATGCCGTCAGCCCACACGTAGTAGTCCTCGTACCCGGGCTCGCGGCGCACCGAACGCAGGAACCAATCGCTCTCGTTGCTCGTGTGGTTCGGCACAAAGTCCAGGATTACTCGTATACCTAAATATAACATTGCTAATAGTGCGTTTGGATGCTTGATATCTAGCGATAGAGTCAGTTTCCTAGTCTTCAAATGATGTTAAATCATTTTTGTTTCTCGCGGGGATCTTTTTAAAGTAAGTTTGTAATTTTATACTATACATGTATTTTTTTAATAATCTTTGGTTGGTTAAAAAGGTAAATGTCGTGTAATTCCAAGGTTTTTCCGAGGAATATTAAGAGGTAAGGTCTTATTATTTTATTTACTTTACTCATTTAAAATTGTTTTTGTTATATATGTTGTTATGTTATTTGTAATAAAGACATTTGGTGATAAAACGGTAAATTCGAGCCTAATATTTAGCATATTTATTTCTAAGTTTTTGCATCAAGTAAATACCTAATAAAAACTATAACTATAAAATTACGAGACGCAAAAAACTAGACAACAGACAAAAAACATCTGTTCCTACATTTTAAGTTAAGTAATTCAAACATAACATGTCAATCAAATAACAGTTATAACGACTTTATTAAAACTGTTATTGAAAAGTCTATTAGAATTAATTATTAGAACTTTTATTTTATAAAATGATGTTTATTTTGTAGGTAAGCCTTTTTTATTCATCACTTTATTGCGCAGTGGCAATGATTTGGATAAGATTTATTTTAATGACGCAATTAAAATATTGTATTCACCGTAAATTACGGGAATTTTCAGTATATCACATTTGACAACACACAACAAAACTTGGTATACAGAAAATCTACATTTATCCTTGTTAACAATACGATTATTTTCTGACAAACCGAGATATTACTTGCATGTACACTTACTAGGAAAATAATGGCAACATTGAACATAACTTTTTCCTTTTTTATTTAACCTTCGTCGTATTTTTGATGCCAGTGATCGCATGATTTGATTTTTAATACAACTACTGAATATGATACACCTTTATAAAATACTTTTACAATATTCTTTACTTGCTTTTGCTAAATAACTACTATTCATTATATTTATGTATCTACACCTTACATTTTTATCGCGCCATTGTTTTTACAGTTTCGCTCACCATTTTCTCTATAAGGGACGTAGATACATAACCAGAAACATTTAATCCATAGCTTGGTTTATGACAAACGAACTAACTTCACAACATATCAGGACTTGTAACAAAAGACGCCCTACTTTATGATACTCCGGGGATGAATACGAATCGAATGATATGCAATAATTAAAATCCGACAAGTCTTGGTACAGGAGGTAATTATGGAACGGACATATTTTAAAAATACTTTACGAATATACGATATTATAAAATAACAGAGTCATTAAAAAAATTGTAGATTAATATTTATATTACGACGACGACGCGAAATAAAAAAAAAATCAGTAGCTTTGTTGTTATACCAGACTTTATTCTACATCGATGCCAAATTTACTCCAGATCCAATCAGCCGTTCTGGAGATACCTCAAGCAAACATCCGTCCATCCATCCATTCTTAAAAAACATTCACATTTTCAATATTAAGTAATATTATTAAATACTTGCCCAATTTCTTAGCAGTCTTCATGAGGAGTTGGAAGTGGTCCATGTTGCCGTACTCCGGCGCTATCTCTCTATAGTCAGTGATGTCGTAGCCGAAGTCGCGCATGGGCGACAGGAAGATAGGCGACATCCAGATCGCGTCAACTCCTGTCTCCTTTAGGTACGGCAGCTTCTCTGTTATACCTACAAAATAAACACTAAATCAGAGATATTATTACTTTGTTTCTCGTAGACCGAATAGGATTTTTATTTTAAACATAATATTCACATATCCCAGCGTTTCTTTGTTTTTTTTTTTGGGAATCACTCCACTAAGTCATTGAAGGTATAAGATTCAAACTTTATAGAAGCTCGTGGTTCGATGCGAGCATGTATTTATTAAACTAGTGGACCTACTAGTGTAGTGTACTAGTGTAGTGGACCTACTAGTGTAGTGTACTGTGGAGTAAAGCTTGTGCAGGGCTGGGCCCACCACCTCATTCCTTCACATTATCTTGACACCTGAAAATGTGTTCTGCGCAATGTGTCTTGCGTAAAAGCGAGCCTTTATAAAGTTTGGATGCATTCATAGTTATAACTTTCATAATATCCTTCTTTAAATATGTCAAGTTATTTTGAATTTTCAAATGTTTAATGTTTGTATGTATGTATTATATGTTCGTTGTAGCTTAAACGACTTGACCGATTTTGAACTATAGATATCATTTAGTTCATGTTATTTCTTGCTGTATAATTGTTTACTATTTATTTATAATCTATTATAATGAAGTCTTAGTTCAACGAACATTTCTATATAAACATTTTATCAATATTTCTATAAATAGCTGCAGGTAAATGTAACGTTGCTGCTACACTGTACATCATACAAATACATTCACATACATAACACATCATACACAAACAAAAACTTAATGCATTCTCTTTGAAATAACATTGCTAATTACAAATTAGATAAATAAAAAACAGTAACGTATTTTTTTTAAACATAGAAGCAAAAACAATGTTTTTAAGTACTTGAAAACATAAAGGTGAGTGTAGACTAGAGCGTTTACTTGTAACAGAACAACGAGTTGCTGTATTTTTTTTATATCATAAGGTGACAAACGAGCGAGCGGCTACCTCAAATAGCTGAAATATCGAAGTGACCGTTGTCCATAGACATACGCAATTGCATATGCGTTGCCCACCTTTAATCGACGGAGGAGAAGATGAACAGAAAGAAAACATTTCCAAGCATCCTCTCATCCGGAAGGTCCACTTCCACTTCCCATTCTTTTCTTATAAGAAAAAGAGTGGGAAGGAAAAGATGACTAAATTAGGCCTCCGGGACGCAAAAAATGTATGGTCTAGTGTATTATCCTTTCACGAACCACACGTGCTATGGAAACTGCTTTTATCATTCGTAAAACGTTACATAGAAATGTTCGAGACAATGCTGTAGTGTACATTCACCTTTACATTATGAGTTTGTTCATTATTTTACGATAAACTAAAAACATTTAAGTATAATATTAATTATGTATAAAAAAAAATTTTTTGTATTTCCAAAACAAACATCGATATTTAGAATTGTTTGTTTTGAAATAATATCAAAAACAAAATTATGCATGCAGTTTAATTAAAAAAAAACTTACCATTTAAGTCACCGATTCCATCTCCATTGCTATCTTTGAAGGACCTTGGATATATTTGATATATCAGTGCTGTTTGCCACCAGTCATGGTCTATAGCGTCAGCAGATGTCAAAAAGAACGTCAGAAATAAACCTGATAAAAAATTGAGCAAGAAAAACGAAAAACGCATCATGATGTACAATGTATGTCCAAATCACGTAATGTTTTTGTTTTATTCACCCTTTATACTTCTTTTTAATTATTTCATCTGATTTTTAATTTGAACATATCGAACCATGTGTGATGTAGATTTTGCGTCTTCAGGAAACAATTAAATTGATTGATTGAATGATTTCACGAATTTAAATATTTTTCTTCATAGAAAAATAAGTTACTAAAAAAACAAAAGTTGTATTTTACCAACAAAGGTAACAGGACAAATATTTTCTCAATGTGTTGTATATTTTAACACAAATTCAACTCAATTTTAACCAGAGGTTATACGGAAATATAAACGTCCACTCTTCGCGATCGTTCAAACTGGACTGTGCTGTGAATTGCGAATGTTTTTGTTATGGCCTGGGCCTTGCAGTGATTGTCCTTCTGTAAGACCCCTTTTTCACTACGCTACTAGCCGCACGACCCTGCGGTGTTTACGAAAGTCGTGCCATTGGAAAGAACACAATTATATCAAATCAACGGCCAATATCTTGCTTCAATTTTTCAGTAGTTTTGTGTGTATTGTAAAATAAAATTAAAAGATATTAATTAAGTTACTAAAATATATATTACTGATAAAAGCAGTCGTATGGTAACGCGCTAGAGGAAAAGGAGTCTAAGTAAATGGGCTACATTGCATACATTACTCTGACCAAAATCATTTTATTTCTGTCCAATCAGAAGTTATGATTCATTGATTCGTTTAAAGAAATTGTACAGCTAAAAAAAAACAAAACATATGTAGGTATTACCTACGCTTAAATATTTGTTTAGTACATAAAGACGACGGAAAATGTAAGGATGGAAAGAGCGTTTGGATTGGGATGAATTTTGGAATATTATTTTATATAATAAAAGATAAAATGAAAATATTAAATAGAATTATTAGAAATAAAGAGAAAAGCACGCACTTTTACAGAATATATTTACAACTAATCATTTAAAAATAGAGAAAAAGGAAGAAAAAAGATACAAAGTTCTAAATTCAAAAATATAACAATTATGAATAAAAACGTGTAAAAAGGTTTTGTATCTGTCAGCAACAGTACACCTTTGTTTACTAAGATTTGTACTAAGTATATTAGATAAGTCACCCTTAACTAAGGGTAGGCTTCGATCTCTTCAGTGAGTACATATTGTGTAATGATGTTGATGATATATTGTCACTAGAACAAAATTTTTAAAGTCCCTTTCAAACTTTGTTTTCCTATTAAGCCTATTATCAACTTATCGAAATAAATGTAGGTGTTTTTACATAATAAAACGTTTTATTTTTTTTAACAATATCTTTGTAAAAACTACAATACAAAAGCACAATTATATTTAGTTTAAATTGAAGTACAAAATTATATCGAGACATTTTTGTATTAAAGGTTAGACGTGGAGAGAATTTACGCACATTAACTTCAATAATGACGATATTCAGTTAACATTTTTTGGCACAGCGTTGTATTATACGTGAAGATGATAAATTACTTTAATAATACTTAAAATACATTGTATTGCAATGATATTAATGCATATATTAGTACTGAATTAGTAAGAAAATAGTACCCCAGATTAGCTTGTGATACTTCAAAATTATAATTAGAAAATTATTTTCATACTACTCCAAGACAAAGATAAAGACAAAACATTGTAAAGTAATAAAATTGGTTACATTCCTTGTCATCAATGTTGAGAGTTTACGATATTTGGTGCATTTTTGGTATTTGTGTACTTTAGTGATCCCGAGATATCAATATAATATTTCACAGTCTTCTTCTTCTTGTCAGCCATGAGACGCCCACTGCTGGGCATAGGCCTCCCCCAAAGATCGCCACGATGACCGGTCTTGTGCCACCTGCATCCAGGACGCTCCCGCAACCTTGACCGACGATCCATCTTGTGGGAGGCCTGCCCACGCTGCGTCGACCTGTCCGTGGCCGCTACTCTAGAACTTTGCGGCCCCATCGACCGCAAAGTCCTACAGTGGCGCATATTTTACAGTATCAGTGAATAATGAAGTTATAAAGGCTAATGTACGTCAGTTTTTGTGTGTAAAAGACAGTCAAAGAATAGTTATTTCGATTATTTTAGTGCCGCGACTTATTAAAATTATCTGTGCAAAATAAAAGTTCACATAAATATTTTAACGATACGTAAATTATTTCGATGTCCTGTAAACCTTATAACCTAAATTCCATACCCATAAAGGGGGTCTTCTTAAACATATCGAATACTGTAAAAGTTTAAGTAATGAATTTTAGATAGCACTTGTCCATTCAATTAAGAGGTTTATAGCTTGTTTCATTAACTTTATTGGGTCATTGTTTCGAATTGCGATGTATTTGGAATGAAATAAGAGAATCAAAGCCCCGTTATTTTAATTCCGTAACTGTTTCCACTGTACTATACCAAAATGTAATCATATCTTGCAATTTCTATGTAAAAAGAGAAAATTTTAGTTTTAATAAGTTTTGCACGGATGTTTGAAACTTAAGGAAGAGTTACAAATACTTATAAATGAGTAATATTTAATTTTTTAAATTTATTTGCGACAGAGAAACAAGATTATTGTGTAAATTTGCTGGTACCTACAATTGGTTAGTACCTGGTTGATGATTATATGTGTTGGCACCTAATGGCGGCGGTAGGGCAGAGCGTGTTTGGACAACCGGCCAGAGCTCTGGACAGGGTCGCCACAGATCTGCGAATAACAGTCTCACATAACCCTGTTAATACCCCTCCTCAAAGACATGGTATAAAAAAGGTCGGCAATACCTGGGGAGATGAAAACTGTAAAAAATATGGGCATGGCGTTTTTACTTCGTCAAGTAATTCGAATTTATTTTGTATCTGTTATAGGCAGTGGCTATAAATGAACGCGGGAACCAAAAACCTTATTTACGCTGGTTCTATGCTTTTAAATTTCATTTTCTTTTCTAATTTATGGTTGATTATTTATGTCCAGATATTCTAATAAATATTTATCTTTACTGAAACTTTTATTTACTGGAATTACTTATTACTTATTTTATGTCTGAATTTAATTATGAATTCCTATAAGAATGTTTAAAATGCTGAGAGAGTTTTAGTGACGCAAATGAAAAGAAAGTACAGCCTTAAATAGAAGTCCTGATTTAAAAAAAAATCACAATTCGAGAATCGATTTTACTTGAAGTTTTACAATGGCATCAAATTATTTTAAAATTAAGTACGTGTTTTATGAAATAAGGTACTGCCATTTGTGAGTCAATTACAAATAAATTTGAAAGTAATTTATATCTGATGAGATTGGTTTTTGCGTTGTATTTAGTAGTATTTAAATAACTTTCATTGCAAAGAGATTTTTAAATATTATAATTCTGATGAATTCCCAAAAATTCCAAAATAGGTGTTGAATTATTAAAATTTAAAAGTTTTAATGCATAATGTTCAGTAGTATTTTTTAAGTGACTAAATCCTTCCTATCTATAGATTCTAGGGATCTTTATCACAAGTCGTAATTTATTCAAAATAACATTCAAGGGATCCTTAATGTCCTAACAAACTTGGATAACAATAGCTTTGCTATTATTTTAATTGCCTGAATTTTTAGAATAGCAAAGTTGTTTAAGTATCAATTTGCTATTACATATTTATAGTACCGTTTTTATTACACGACTGACGCATGAGTTTTTTCGCAGTTTTCCCTCATTATTTATATTATTATGAATGTATACTGTATTATTATTGTACGATAAAACCGACTTTGACGATGTGTCATCACATTCGAACCCATATAGAGTTTATTAATTCAGTTCAGTAGTTCTCCTTAATAATGATTAGTTTGTTAATGGGCTGTACTGTAAATCGGTAAAATCAAAAGAAATATCGGGAAAATACCAGAAGCATCAAATTATTTATATTTCGGTATTTTATCCGATTGGTATGGATTAAAAAAAAACAATTTTGGGATTATAAAAAATGAAATAAAACAATTTTAGCCGTAATAAAATATAATCGTCAGTTCGTGTTGAGTATCTAAACAAAATTTACATAAAGCAACTGTTCTATATACATTTAACTATATTACATTTACTGTACATAATGAATACATAACACGTAACTATATTTGTCATTTATTGAAGTAATTGTATGTAAATACTGTTAAAATTGTTAACCTTTTATGACAAAAAAAATAAAAAACGTCGATATTTTCAACAAGACTCAATTTTAATATATATTTCTAAAAAAAAATTCGAAAAATTTATTACTTAATGTAATCTCCATTCAATTTTCAAGATAAAAGAAAATGACGCTACTTTTAAAAAGCAAAAAATATTTTATCAGATCTTATTTTATAAGTTATTTAATATTTCAAAAAATTAAAAAAAAATGTGAAAACGATTGTAGAATTATAATATTTTCTCAGTATTTGCTTGTCTATGGATAGATTTGTTTTATCTGTAATCGAATCTTATAATACGAGCTTTATATACAGAGAATGATATAACATAGTTATTCTAAACAAATATACGTCAAATATGTCAACAATTTAGCACAATATATAAATCTTTGAATTATTGAGTAAGGCACATAATCTAAAGTTAATTATATCTTAATATTTAGCTTTGGGAGCTTGAGACATATTCTTTAAGCTGTTCAGCTTAATTTGAAACAATTAATTCCCATATTGTCTTAATCACGTTCATATATTGGTCGACAAATTTTATTTAACCATAGGATCAGTCTTCCATAATTGCTTACGAATGTATTGTAGAATTTTGACATAACAAAATACTGCACGAATATAAAGATACATTCATTAAAAAAAAACGAAAATTAATAAATCCAGAAATTGATTGAATACTTTTTAATAATTTGGAATACGATTTTTTTTTAATTTTTAAAAAGGTTTATTTTTAAAGGGCTTTACATTTATTTATAATTAACATGATTTTTATTATTTCCTTTATAATAAGTGATGCATAACCAATTTTGTACTAAGTATTCCTAAATCGTGTTTAGTATAAAGATTTTTATTTAAAAAAACTCATTTCCTCTTACAATATCGTAAACATTCGTGCAGTTTTTAAATTCATAAATGTTGATAAAATAAAGTCTTTGATGTTTAATTTAGACATAATAATTTCTTCCAAAACGGTCGTTTAACATGTACGACGGGCAATCCCGCCAATATGGCGGCGTCGAAAGCGTCTTTCAGTTGTTTCCGCGTCTTGGAAGAAGTTTCGATGTAGACGGCGTTTATTTTAGTTGCCAGTGCTCTCGCTTCTACTTCAGTCACAGCATGCTCTCCAATCGCCTGAAATAATAAGAAATTAATATTAAAAAACACCAAAATTATTAAAATTCAAATAACTAATTTACTCCAGTCCTCTGTTAGATCGTGTTATGTCACCAGACCATTTGGGAATAGATGTTACGTCTATACTAATATTCAATGTATCTCTTGGAATTCTTTTTACAATGTTTTGTGTGAGTATATAAATATTTTTGTTAAAACTCGATTACCACTGATCCTATGTCCTAGCTTACCCTAAGTCGTAACGGTTGGGAAATACCGCCGAGGACAGAGCACAACGCATGTACGTAGACGTGTACCGAAATGTAATATCAAAACTCGTTCCATAATAGTTATCAGCGTCATGTATCATTATGCAACGCAACAAATATAAATCAAAAACAATTACAGTGATAGTGCATCGGGCCCGCATAACCCGTATTGACTCTGTCAGATGTTATCTCAGAGAGGCATTGCCGTAGGAAAGCCGCGGCCGCTTACATTTTTTATGCTAAGATGTTGGGACATCAACGGTTTAACGGTCTTCAATGAATATATCATGGTATCGTTTGAAACATCATATTATTTATGTAGTTATTACGTGCTTATATAGCTTTGTGAATTACTTCACTTGGGGTGTTAAAAAAACGTATTTTTTGCAAGAATCTATATAAGTGCGGTATATTGTGACATCCTGTAACCTAATTGAATCTACTTAGTGGGTTACCATTCAATTCGAAATACAATTGCCTGTTCTTTTTATTAATTACTAGCTGTCGCACGCGACTCTGTCTGCGCATTATTAAAAAACTCTGTAAGTAGCCTATGTGTTCTTCCAGACTATGTTCTACATCTGTGCTACATTAAAGATCCGTTGATCCGTTCTGGAGATACCTTCTAACAAACATACATACATCCAAACTTTCGCGATTGTTTATGACTAACAATTAGCTAATGTCATACAAGATAGATTAACTTGAATCTTTCTTACCTTAAGTCCTTGTAAGACTTTATCGTCTGTCGCGAGATCACTCTGCGTTCCGACGAGCACTAAGGGTGCGTTCACACTGGCTACCGCTCGCGTCCACCGCTCCGCCACAGAGCGGAATGTCTCTGGCCGCACCACAGAGAAGCAGAGCATCAGCACATCCGTGCCCGGGTAGCAGAGCGCTCGTAACTCTGACATCGAGTCCTGGAAACATCGAATAATAATGATAAATAATTTAATCGGCACAGCTCGACAACATAATAAACTATTATATGACCATTGTTAGGAAGAAAATCCAACACTGCCGGTGTACTAGCACAACACTAGCCTTACTAAAATGTCGACGTTTATGTCCCCTCACTAATCATTCTGACACTTGATCTTATAATGAAAGCACACCGTTCGCGCCAAAGGATTCTAACTAATAATGTCTAAAACTAGGAAGAATATTTAAAAAGGGGGATCAGCTTGCGATAAAGTGTCGTTAAGAAGGAAAAGGATTAAGTAGATTCTGTCTATAAGTTACCCAAGTTCATCTTTTACCCTAACAGGGTGAGAACAACCACTAAAAGCAGCTTTACAAATATGCAGTATAAAATAAACTCCCAGTTTATAATTTAAGAGTATAATAGTCTATTTTAAATATATTTTACACACTAATTATAAAGGCAAAGTTCTGATAGCTAGACTAAACATGAGAACAATTTGTAAGGTAATCTTTAGTACCAATTAATTGTTAGTATAAACAATCCCACGATCATGTAGCAATCAACATCGTAGGCGTAAATTAGCTTTGCTTAAACTAAAAAGATCCCATAAAAAGATCGAGCCTTTGTTTGTAGGTACGTTAACAGAACTGGGAGTTAAGGTGAAAGTTGACACGAGCAATTAAATCAATTTTATAGACGCGTTATACTCGTCTCTATAATTTTGTTGCGCAATTTATGTAACGTGTGACCATATTACTTACGTCACAATCAAAGTGCCACATAGTGAATGTTTAATATGAGACAACAACACTGAGGGTCTCCCTTAGTGGCCAAGTAATCTTTCCCGATGCGTTATTGTATCTAAAGTTCTAAGATACAGTAAAACATAATGTCTCTAAAAACGTACTATTATATTTTTTGAAGCTTTATTGCGCGAGTGAATGTTATTAAACAGTTAATTTTTTCTAATAAATTGTACGCATGATTACACTAAGCGTCCGTCATTTAATACGACGAAGGGTTTAATGAACGCAGCCTTATAAATACGCAGTTTAACGCGCATACAGACTTTCACCGCAAATGCGTTTGTAATCATCATTTATTACTATCAATAAAGTAATTACAAAAAAAAAATAACCAGGGCAAAGTAAAAGTTAAGACAAAGTTTAAAAGTGTAAAAAATTCAAGACGAAATTGTAGTGTTTTAATTAATAAAAAGACAAAAGATATTAATAAGATGCATATAAAAACGCATTACTCTACTGTACTTTTTTACATTACTGTGAGAATATTTTCTTCTAACCCCAACGTAAATATCTTAATGTCAAGCTAAGCTTAACGAAGGTGAAAAGAAACTGTGGGAAACAGGAAAGATGTGAACTGTGCGACAATGGTACAAGCAAAAAACAACATTCAATTAAACGCATCTGCAAACGCAGACGCGCAATATTTTTTATATGTGAAAAGGTTAGGTAGAAACAGGTGTGTATACAATAGTTCATCTTTATTTACTAAGTAGAGTATTTAATTCTAGTATTTTTTTTTATTAACATGTGTCGAAGACATCAAAAATACGTCTGCGTATTGTGATAAAATGTTAGAACATTTGGCTATTCTTTTTTTTTTAAACAAAGCATGAATCTCTGCACGTAAATAGCTGTCGCCAGCTCCTTCCATCGGATTTAAAAAAACTTAATTAGCCTTTGTGTTCTACCAGACTATGCCATTTTTTTTATAACAGAAGGGCAAACGAGCAGCGGGAACACCGAGGTGTTCAACGACGCTCATGGACATCAGCAATACCAGAGGAACCGCAGATGCGTTGCCGGCCTTTGTGATAGTGATAAGCAAGCTAATATAATTTGTTATCCGTTGAGCCGTTCTGAATGTATCCATTTACACATCCAAACATTTACGCTATAAGTAAGATTTATATGTAGTTGGGCGTATAGAGATGCTGGAGGAGTACACTGAGCAACTCAGAATCATTCTTTAAAATGATTTATATAGTTTGTACTAAAAGTAAAAAGCAACAAATTTTGCAAGCATTTTCAGTATTATAACTGAAAGATGTTCGACCAATAAATTGCATAGAATTCCGGTTAACTAAAAATTAACGTTTAGCTTGCTATGTAATGATATAAATAATTTAGTTAGCTTTTTATAAAGAACGTCGGTGGCTCAGTGGTCAAGCACTTGACTTGCAATCTGCAGGTCCTGGGTTCGAATCCCACCATGTACCAATGTGTTTTTCGATTTTCGATTTACATATGTACATTTTATCCGACGTTCTTACGGTGTAGGAAAACATCGTGATGCAATCTGCACATATGAGAAGGAATTCAAAGATATGTGTGAAGTCAACCAACCCGCACTTGGCCAGCGTGGTTGACTATGGCCTAATCACCCTCAACTTAGGGTAGGCTCCGAGCCCCTCGGTGGGGACGTATAGTGAGCTGATGATGTTATAAAGGAATAGTATACTAAAATAAGAATTAAAATTTCTCCTTACGTCAAGTGGGAATTCAAATGAAACTTGAAGCAAGATATTAAAGTATTCAGTACAGAAATGTAGCTACCATATTCCATGAAGTAATGATACTACGAGCTTAACGTAACACAAACTTTATAATTAGACAATTAACCTACTTCATTAACCTTGCGGGGAATTCTACGTAAGGGCTTTCGGTACTCGTGAATTTTCCCTTTATTTTCATTGGCTTTTAAAACATTTAGACTCAATTGTTTAGTTGGTTATTTAGTAATTATATTGATCATTTTTTGAAAAATATTCTTATATTTTTTTCTTACTAATATTGTTCGGCAGTGTAAACTCACTAGAATAGAGTAAGGAGAATAGACTTACTTGTCCAGCAGTATCACAGATTTCCACACAGACAGGCCGATCGTCCACGTCTACCACAACTGTAACAAAATTAATTAATTTAATTATATTTACCAATCGAGTTAATGCAAGAAAAATATTTATAAATAATGAAGAAATATCTAATCAAAAGAGTATTGCTGGTTTATTTACATTATGCCAGTACATTAGGACCCAAAATTCTGGCATAATGTACTAACTGGCGCTAGTGAGGCAAAACAGTACATGCTAGGCTATGTCCTATTATACTGGCATAATGTAAACCAGGCATTAAAATATGCATAATATGTTTTACTGATGCGTAGCCAATTTGGCAATAGAGAGCAGATAATTATTATACTTTACTTCTGCTTTATTCTGTAAATCCTGTTTTTATTTTAAATATAAGGTAGCAAATGACCAAGCGACCACACAAATTCGTCGAAATAGCAAAGCGACCGCTGCCCATAGATATCTGCAATTGCAGATGTACCTTTAACGGACGGTGGAGGGGTCACACAGAATGATTATATTACCCATTGCTTACGTCCCCTCCTCCGTCAAATACACACACATACACACAATTTATATAAAAACAACATAAATCATAGAAAGATATGTTTTTTCGTAAATAATATGAAGTCTATGTTTGGCAAGATTACGTAGGTTTGACCAAGTATCTTAACAATCTTGATTAGATAGACAAAAAAGTATCGATTAGTCACTAATGACGACGATATAACCGTGTCGGTTTGTCATATCCTGTCACAAATCATGTCGGTTCAAGGTAATTAATTAAAAAAGGATTGATAGATTCATTGCTAGTGTAATACTAAGAAATATCCTGAGTAATAAATACGTGTAAATAGCTCTTACTTCTTTTTACAAATAAAATAGCCAACGTATTTTTATGCCTTACGATCTTATAATCATCAAGACGGAGACAGCCGTTGGAAATAAGTTTCTAATTTACATATATAATTTTAAAACTACTAAACATCTTATACCCTTATTATTCACTAGCTGTCGCTCGTGACTCTGTCCGCCCGAAATAAAATAAAACTTAATAAGTAGCCTGTGTTTTCTTCCAGATTATGTTCTACATCTATGTCAAATTTCAGCGAGATCCATGCAGCCGTCTAAACATTCGCATTTACAATATTAGTATGAAGTATGATATCAAAATAAAGTTAATATCTTTATCAATAAATTTGTAGTATTTAATTCGTAAATTTTAATCATTATTAGTTTAAATAGTGACCATTTACGGGCAGTTATAACAAATCTGTAGGAATGTTGTCGACAGAGAAACAAGTTTGAGACAAGTTCCGATACGAAAGCTTAGCTCTATTCCCGGTGACGCCGAGGAATTTAATCTCAGAGTCAACAATTTAATTAAACAAGCTAATAGAACTTTAACTGTATTAATTTTAGTTCCAAACAACTCCAAAGAGCAAACGATACTTTTATTTTTCATACATTTTGTGTAACATTTGATTTATTTTGATGAATAACTCGTTAAAGACAAAATTATGTTTACTATTGAAATTGATTTTAGCTTTATTGATTTGAACGCAGCAGTATATTCTACGCTCAAAGTAGTACAGTCAGCTGCAAAAATATGTATTAATTCAAATTAAAATTGTACAGGTCTTGGGTTTTCAAATTTTGTACACACTTATCCGCCCGTATGCTTTCGCATATGAATATATGCTATTGACAAATAGATGCCTAATATTTTTGGAATCGAAGCCCTATATGAATTTCTAAAGTTTTAAATTGTATACATATATTTGTAGCTGACTGTACATAGAAATTGGAATTTTAAAACTGTATTTTTGACTTTTGATTTTAAGTATACATTTGTAATTTAATACAATGCAAACTTTTTTAAAGCATAAAGAGTTTAGTTTGTTTTAAGCATGTTACAACAATCGCGTGACTGATTAGACCTTGCGAATTTTCCACAGTACGCAAAACCTTTCAACCAGAAAGTAAGTGAACGATGGTCAAGTTTTTTTTAATTCTTCAATTGATAAAGTTTGAAATTCTAGAAACGATTTCGGCAATCAATGAGTTATGTAATAGATATATGTTGAGATGTCGATTTTATTAAGTTATCTTAGCCTCTACTGGACAAAAGTTACAAATGAGCGAGAATCTATCTCTCAATAAATTTCTAGATCAGAACTTTAGCCACTCCCACTAAATATGTGCCAAATTTCAACAAGATCCGTTGTACCGTTCCGGATATACCTTCTAACAAATATTCATCCATCCATTTAAACATTCGCATTTATAATATTAGTAAAATTTAACGACCAGTAACATCTGTAGAGTTGCTAGTACGAATAAAAGAAACACATATCACATATCAATCATAGTAACAAACAACTCTTTTATAGGCATCATTAAAATACACTGAAGGTTGTCCTTAAATTCATAAATGGTAGGTCCATAGTTTTATTTCGTTGATTCTTCACACGTAGTGAGCCTTGTCAGTATATACGTGAGATGTTTGTCTCTGATGTACTAAGTAGTAGAGAGGTTTGTAATAATCCTACATTGTAATTAGTAGTTACTTAGTAATTAGTAATCACGTTAAATCCGTATGAAATAAAATCTTTTGTACTCAATAACTTTCAGACTGTCATCAAACTGCCTATTTCCACACAAGTTATATTTCTCTTCCATATTGTAAATCTATCAGCCGTCATATTTGAATTCACTCTCTTACGCACATCTTCTGTAACAATCCATCCACATTTTCAGGCTAGTTTTTTAGAATAACAACAGTTTTTCCATTTAACCTGTGGAATACTTCGTTATACGTTTCCAATAGAACGCGCTCAATTATGGAAAGCGCAGGATGAAATACGATATCATTCTGCCGGTAGCCACGTCGACATTTCTTATTGTCAAATATTAATCAATTGTTACCCACTGACCTCAATGTGCATCCAAGAGATCAGAGGTGAGTTTTACTTTAAGCATTGGATAGTTTTATGATGATGACAGGTATAGCGGTCGCCCGTGACTCCGCCGCGCGGAATTAAAAGAACATAATTAGTAGCCTATGTTTTCTTTCAGACTATGTTCTATACGTATGCCAAATTTCATCAAGATCCGTTCAACCGTTCTGGAGATACCTTCAAATAAATATCCATCTAAACATTCGCAATTATAATATTAGTAAGATTTTCTGCGATGCATTAGGTCATAGTGTTCGCTTTTGTTCACCTCTAACTTAAGGTAGGCTCCGAGCACCTCGGTGGGGACGTATGAGCTGATGATGAATGAATGAATGAAATGTTCGTTTTTGATTTGCAAAATCTTTTTGGCATGTCGTCTTTGGTTATTGTATTTTTTTATACTTTAAGAGGATTTATTTATATGGCTTTAAAGGATATGGGTATTAGAAGTTTTGCGATAAAATTAACTGCAGAACCCTAACCTTTTTTTTTGTTTTTGACCTTCTTTAAAGTATATTAGCTTATTATATTTGTAACGTTTGTCTGATGTGGATGCAGTATAAGCTAACAGTAACTCGTTCACGGTTAGTTGTTTTCGGTGGCTGGAACGGCGGCGGGCAACGGGCGGTGCAACACGATACGTCTCGACCTGTTTCCGTCAGCGAGACGGTTCAACTTACCTGTCCAGGGTTGTCACGTGCTCGTATGCTATGAAACTAAAGATTGAACATTCAGTATCCGATCTAGTAATAGTTAGGTCATTTAAAGAGGCCTATAAATATTTATAAAAGTTAAAAAATATTATCTCTAAAGAGAAATAAGGAAACTATTACCATGTTACAATTGATATTTTACTACGTAGACCTAGTATGGAGTAGGTCACATCTAGACATTTAAGAGACAAACGATAGTAATTTATTTAATCTAGTTTTCGGTGTGCGATTATTTATGTTGACAACCCTGATGCGCGAGATGCGACGATTTATGATAGCGCGTAGTACACTGCGCGGTGTGTTACATATTTTACATACATGCTACAGATTTATTTATTGATTTATAATAAATACTGAGGAGTTCATGTATTACTGGCATGTATAATAATTTACATCGACTTCAAAGTTATTAAATCAATGTAATAAGTATTTAATAATTTTGCAATGTACAGTATAAAAAAAATATATTAACCAAAGAAATTATAATAATAGACATGACGAGTCAAGAAAAACGGCTCAACGGATCTCGATGATATTAGGCATAGATGTAGAACATAGTCTGGAAGAACATATAAGCTACGCATAGGCGTCAGTTAGTAATAAATATATATATATGTATCTTGTTCGTGTATTGTTCTTCCTTCAAAAGTTTCCAGCCTCGTCTATAGATGGATTCAATGTCAATGGGTATACTGCTATTTGTTATCTCTTACGTAACGAGATTAGTCTGTGGCTCCCGACATGTTAGATAGTCGAGCTCCTGAGATAAAGACGTTTACTTTCTTTATATTGTTTCCGAGAACACGCTTTAATATCTCGTTGTTATGCCGAATAAATACTGTCGTTGATAATGTGAGTTTAAGGTTATTTCATGTTTCAATATCTTTTTTAAGAGATACTGAAATTATCTATGATGTCTTTTTAAACACGTGAAATTATTGATTGTTTTTATTGTTTTTTTTTTAAATATTTCTGTGGTTTATTTTAGTGTTTCCTTTTCAATAAGGGCTGCTTAAAAGTAACTGACGTTTGGTCGTGAACATATTATGCAAAATTATTCCGCGAAAGCACCCCGCTGTTTTGCCCAGTAGTTGAATTATGCCGGTATTTTGCTTTAAAGATTTAATATAGTATGCAAAGGTAAGTGACAAGTAACAACAAAATTAAAGAATTTCAAAACGAAAATTTTAAATAAATATTATAGAAATATGATAAAAATTCGAAAGCACATAACTTATTAATTGGTAGAAAATATCTTTGGAGATTTTTTTACACCTGAGATCGCTGAAATAGCGAAGCAATCGTTGCCTATAGACATACGCAATTGCATATGCGTTGCCTATCTTTAATCAACGGAGGAGGGGAACATGAAAACCA